AAAAACGGTTACTTGTATTGGCTCGGTAATTTTCTCCTGTAACGTAGGTATCTTGGTCTCAATCAGATTGAGAGTTTGAGCTGTTTTCGAGGCTAAAATTTAAGCCTAGAGAAACATCCAAAAACAAAAGTCCTCGCAGCAAACGTGAGAAATCAATTCTCAATTGTGTTCACTATCTCTTCCAACATAGATGACACTGTGTCGAATTAATTTGGGTTTCAGTAAACGAGAGCATTTGGATCGAAACTGTTTCGCAATAGGATATCGAACACGATCGACGAACTGAAGTGGTCCATTATACTTGCATAATGCTAAATATGCTCTTGTTCCGTCGTTGTTCTAAATAATATTTTTTCAAAATTCGGGTGCTGTAAAGTTTCGTTCCATATTTTACAATATATTACATAGATTAACCCTTTTTTAAAGTGACCCTGCGAACACTTAACAAAAGGTCCAATCAGTTCCAATTGTTTGTATAGCTGTTTCTTTGGAGACACTTTAGAAGTATGTTTGGAGGCCGTCAACAACAACATTAATGAGATCTGATGGATATTATAATTTCCTTATCCAAACATGCCAGAAATTTTTATGGAAATTGTGGGGAAATTCCCAAATTCCATAAAACTTGATGGTATCTCTGAAACCAAAAATACAAAGTGTAAAAAGAACACAATGCAAACAAGTACAAAATAATAGTAAATGAATAAAAAAAAGTGATAATAAAAAGCAAATAACAAAAGAAGATATTAAATAAGAGAGAAAAGCCAACGAACAAACCCCCATAATAAACCAAGTGCTAGAGAGGAAAAGAGAATTTTATAAAGCAAAACGCCCCAACGTGCAATTCCCGATAATAACAAAAGCAACAACATGTTTTTAACAATTATTTATTATTTTTAAAAATACAAGAAAAGATAGAGAGGGGTATACAGAGAGTATATAAAAATCCAAGAGAGTGTTTTTATTAAAAAAATGTGCGGGTTTATTTGCATGTGTTTAAATGAGAGTCATGTGCTAACTGAACTGGTGGACTGGATGAGTGACTGAAAAATTGTTTTTTTTTTTATATATTTTTTTATTATTAAAGTGAACAAAGGCAAAATATAAAAAAAAACAAATTATAATAACCAGAGTTGTATCAAGCAGTAGAAAGAATGTTGTTGACGACATGTATGCTTATTATGATGATGCGGTTGTTTGTTGCTGACGAAGTCTACTATGAGGATGATGATGAATAATATACAAAGAAAAAAATTTATATAAAAACAAAAACAATTTTATAGAGAAATTAATTGAATATGTGTTCGGTGAGTGAGTATATACTAGAATGAGTTGAAAAAAAAAGAATTATGTCTTCTTTTGATAAAACAACAATAATAATCAGGGATGGAAAAGTAAGTACTGTTGTACTTTTATCAGTACATTTAAAAGAAGAGCATAAACTAGAGCATAGACTGGAGCATTGACTAGAGGATAGACAAAAGTATAGACTAGCGCATAGATAAGATCCTAGAATAGAGCATAGACTAGAGCATAGATTAGAGCATTAACTAGATCATTGACTAGAGCATATACTAGAGAATAGACTAGAGCATAGACTAGAGCATAGACTAGATCATAGACTAGAGCATTGAGTAGAGCATAGACTAGAGCATAGACTAGATCATAGACTAGAACATAGACTAAAGCATAGACTAGAGCATAGAATAGAGCGTAAATTAGAGCATAAATTAGAGCACGAATTAGAGCATAGACTAGAACATAGACTAGAGCAGGGATGGCAAAATTGGTACGATCGTGCTTTTTTTGATACTATTTGATGTTCAAAAATACCGTGATACTCCCGAGTCTTATTTGATACTCTCAAATTATCTTTAAAACAATGTATCATATTATTCAAATTTAAAATTACAAGAATGCTTTGGCACATATTTACAAATAATTCTCAAAAATGCATCAACTAAAAGTTCTAGAAAAAACGGCTAATAAAATTATAGAGTAATGGAATTCTCTTCAATATTACCAGAATTTAAAAGATCTACTTTTAAAACGACTTTTTTAGAAGTATGTTTTGCAAATTACCAATGCAGCTCATTGTACTTATTTTTGGCGTCATAAAATAACTCCCCAAAACAAAAATGAAATAAGTCCTCAAATTTGGGGACTTATTTCATTATGAAATAATTCCCCAATTTAAAAATGAAAAAAAGCCCCAACGAAATGAAATAACTTCCTAAATTAAAATGAAATAACACCCCATTTTTGGGGATTTATTTCATATTAAACAAATCCCTAATTTGAAAAAGAAATAAGTTCCCATTTAAAAATAACAAATTATGGAACAAGTCGGTTTTGGTGACATTTCTAAAAAAAAGTAGGTCGCTCATACTTTCGAGTGGTGCTTCAAAGTTTAATGCATTTCAGTTTAATCGCTTAATAAAGATGTCCTAAATAAACGGCCTGCGGCCGGGCGCAAGGACTTTTTACTCTATGGTATGTCCAACAACGGCTTAGTAAATATTTCCTAAATTGCCGGCCTACGGTCGGACGCAATGATTTACCACTCTATAATATGACCAACACCGGCTTCGCTTAGTAAAGATTTCCGAAATAGCCGGCCTAAAGCCGAACACTCTTGATACAAGGAGGGTGTATTCTTAGCGAAGGCGTTGTCCAATGTACCCAAAGGATAAAACCTTTGCGCCGGCCGAAGGCCGGTTATCAGATATATATTTTTTATTTCGTGTGATAAAAGTTATTTCATTTTTGTTTTGGGGAGTTATTTCGTGGGGAGTTATTTCATGACGCCCTTATTTTTATCTTGATTGACATTATATGAATATTAATCTAATTAAAAATCCGTTGTAAATATTTTATGATAAAATTACCAGAAATTTAAATTTTGCAAAAATATTCCACTTTAAAACAAATGTTTTGAAATTAGGCATTTATCCAAAGATAATATAAGAAGTTTTTGGTCAAAAATATTTGAACTTAAAAGCAAATTATTGTTTCATGTCATATTCAGAATCGGATGTATGAGTAAATATCCTATATAAGGTCTCATGGTATGGAGCGCAATGTATAGAATTTTATAGGACAATTGATTTTTTAACAAATGACACCTACGTCGGATTTTAATTTAATACATATTATGTACATATTAAAGCGATTTATTGACAATAAACATACTTTTCATCGATAATAATATTTGTAGCTCAATTATTAACGTTAAGTTGAATTTCTAAATTCATTCTCGTATAGGGCCTAGGGTCAAATGTGGCCTGAAATATTGAAATATAATAAATTGTATCATGACTGCTTTAAATTTAACATATTTACAAAGTACAATATCGGGGTAATATTTGTACTTATGGTACCTATGGGATATCATGTAACCATTTCCTTGGCCAAGAAATTATGTAGCAATTTCATCAAGTTATATCTAAAAGGTTAACATTGAGGGACGGACAAAGATTCATCATATCAACACATAATGGCTTTTCTACTTCCGTATAAAAATTTCTAAATAAAAATGTACCTAAGGAATGACCAACATGATCCTCGAAGTGAAATGTTTATCTTAATTTTTATCCAAAAAAATGATTTTAGTACTCTGAGGGCCAAAAAAGTACCCTCTGAAATATTTTTTGATACTGAAACAAAATCTCATTTTCCATCCCTGGACTAGAGCATAGAATAGAGCATAGATCGGTAGATATAGAGATCGGTTGATATAGAGACCGAAAGGCATAGAGATGGAAAGATATAGAGATCGATACATATAGATACCGATAGACATAGAGATCAATAGGCATAGAGATCGATAGATATAGATATCAATATACAAAGAGATCGATAGACATAGAGATCGATACACGTAGAAATCGATAGATATAGAGATCGATAGATATAGAGATCAACAGATATAGAGATCGATAGATATAGAGATCGAAAGTTATAGAGATCGAAAGTTATAGAGATCGATAGACATAGAGATCGATAGATATAAAGATTGATAGATATAGAGATCGGTAGATATAGCGATCGATAGATAGAAAGATCTTTAGACATAGAGGTCAATAGCTAGATAGAAAGATCTTTAGACATAGAGGTCAATAGCTAGATAGAAAGATCTTTAGACATAGAGGTCAATAGCTAGATAGAAAGATCTTTAGACATAGAGGTCAATAGCTAGATAGAAAGATCTTTAGACATAGAGGTCAATAGCTAGATAGAAAGATCTTTAGACATAGAGGTCAATAGCTAGATAGAAAGATCTTTAGACATAGAGGTCAATAGCTAGATAGAAAGATCTTTAGACATGGAGGTCAATAGCTAGATAGAAAGATCTTTAGACATAGAGGTCAATAGCTAGATAGAAAGATCTTTAGACATAGAGGTCAATAGATAGATAGATAGATAGATAGATAGATAGATAGATAGATAGATAGATAGATAGATAGATAGATAGATAGATAGATAGATAGATAGATAGATAGATAGATAGATAGATAGATAGATAGATAGATAGATAGATAGATAGATAGATAGATAGATAGATAGATAGATAGATAGATAGATAGATAGATAGATAGATAGATAGATAGATAGATAGATAGATAGATAGATAGATAGATAGATAGATAGATAGATAGATAGATAGATAGATAGATAGATAGATAGATAGATAGATAGATAGATAGATAGATAGACAGATAAATTACTCTTTGAAAAAGTTACTTGTTTTTCTAAATATCAATATCCCATCCCTGAGAACAATACTAATCAACAACAAATACACAGTTACAAAATCCAACTAAACGAACAGAAAGAGCGAGCCAACCACTCATTAACAAAAAAAAAGAGAGCCAGAGCTTGATGATTTTTATTGTATTTTTCTTTCTTTGCTCTACGTGTTGGTGATGTTTGTTGTTGTTTTTATTATTATTGTTGTTTTTATTATTATGTACACTCGTATGGTGTCATTGTAATATTTTTTCAATGGTTGGTTTTTCATATTCAGTTGCGTTTTTGACGCTGCACAGTTTGCATCACGTGAGAATAGCAAAAAAAAAAAATAAATAAAATAAAAATATCAAAAACAAATTCATAAAAATAATTAAATACATAAGCAAGCAAAAAATAGACCTTTGGATATATAAATATAAAAATACATATAAAAAAATTTATACTGAAGAAAATTATAAAAATTATAGTGTTTTATAACAAAAAAAAAGAAAGAAAATCTTTTTAGTGGAAAAACGTAACCCAACGTCGTCTATTTAAAAAAAAAGAAAAGGTGTGTGTGTGTTTAAAACCGTGTAATAAAAACAAACAAATAAGATAATGACAAATTTAGAAAAAAAGGAAGAAATTTATTAATAATTAAATACTTATAAAACCTATTTATCACCTGTGGCAAGAAAAGAAAATAATAAGAAATTGTGAAAAATTTTTATTTCTTTTTGCTATTTAGTGGCACAAAGAAGTGGAAAAATTGAAATGTGAAAGAAAGAAGAAAAAAAGTTTAAAGTGCCAACATCACCAATATTTACATACAACATCGTATAGTCGTCATCCACACACAGCCAGCAATCAAGCAACCAACCAACGAACCATTCATTTTTTTTTTATAAATTTTTTTTTTTAAATTTTTTCAGTTCAGTTTTTAGTTTTCAGTTCAAGCAAACAACAGCAACAGAGCAAATCAGCCAGCTAGCAGCAGCATGAACAAAAAAACAACAAAACAAAACCATACCAAATCAAACCAACAACAACAAGTCTAAATGTTTGACTGTCAGACAATTCCACCAACTAACCCACCAAACCGACTGCCAAACAAACAGTCATCCATCCATCCATCTCTATACAATATTCATCCATTGTATTTAAGTTTGTCTTTAGTATATTTTGTTGTTGCTGCTGCTGCTGCTTTTTTTTCGTTTCTATACAAAAATATAAAATTATCTCAGTGCTTTTTTTTTGTGTAAAGCTCTCTTTTTCCTTTATTTTTGTTGTTTTTCTTTATTTAATTTTATTATATTTTTTTTTTGTATTTTTGTTAATACTTGTTTTATACGCATTATTAAACTTGTATTGTTAAAAATACTCTTCTCTTCTTTTTTTTTCCCAATAAGTAGATAATATTTGCAAATCTCTTTTTCTTACACTCTCTCCCAGTTTTTGGTTTTCTCTGTTTCTCTCTAAGCAAATACTAACTCTCACGCCCTAAAGTTTAAAATACTTTTATTACAAATATTAGTTTACAAAGAAAGAATGTGAAAAAAATAAACGGTTTACTTGCAAATGTGTTTTTTTTTTTTTTTGAAGAAAACTTCGCTCTGATTGTGGAAAAAGTAACACTTCATTGAAAAATTTATAAAATTTTAGTTCCATAATAATTTAACAGTGTGTTGTAAAAGTAAATGTGTTTAGAAATTAGATATCAAGTGTTTAAAACCAAGTGTAAGAAAGATGTCTTCAATACCGATTCTTATAGGTTTAACCTAACAAAAAAAGAAATTTAGGAAAGCAACTCGCGAATGTGGAAAGTTTCAAAAATGTTTAGTGATATCAGGACCCAATTTCAGCTTGACAGAGGAAAAATTTCGTTTAAAATTAAATTACAAAATGGTTTAGAAAAAGAGTCCTCTTTTACGAGATCCAAAAGCGAAGAAGCTGAAACAGTTATGCCACCCTTATCTACCGCCCATTGGTATTTTGAAACGCCTTGCCAATTTTAGATGTCGTGTGATGAAAATAACTTGTTTTAACTAAACAAAAGTGGAGGAAGTGAACAACACTCCACGTAAAGACCATCAGTTCAAAGTCTAATCCGTTAATTCAAAGTCTTTCTTCAGTATTTGGCGACATAGTGCAAGTTTTTCGACCACAATTGAATCATCAGTTCCGAAAGACACAACTCCCAATCGTTCAAAGATTATCGATATAGCAACAGCTGTATTAACCGGAAGTTTTTTTTGCCAAGGAAGTTCTTCTATCCACAGCGAAACCTTTACAACCAAAGTATTTGGAAAAGTTGAGGAAACAATAGATTTTTGAGGAATTAAACGTTTCAGTTATCAGATCATAATTTGAAAATGAGCTGAAAAACAGATAATATTCCTCTATAGATTTCTCTTTGGGAGAGTGATAGATTCTAATTGATCAGATAGACGACCTATGGAATAAAACCAAAAATGAGGTAAATCGTGTCTTGTTGCAAAAAGCATTCATATAGATCTGAGGTATTCATTCCGGAAACTTTATAGAGAAGGATTTAGAATGATCTTATTGGTTTGATGTTAAAGATTGTTGTAAAACATATGAGAAACTTTCGAAAGAACACATTTCTGATTCCACGCCTCAAATCGAAAAGAGCACAAAGCCGTTCTAAAGTTCTAAAAGCTGGAAATAATGTCGGAGGGTTTTTCTTAAGAATATAATGGATATGGTGAACATTGTCCACCGCAAAACTTGTCACAATGAGGAAAAGAAGAGCTAGAATAGTTAATTTTCCTAGAGCATCATTATTAAAACAGATCTCGGAAAATGTCTCACCTCATATTTATATGACCCTGGATTTCTAGCAATATTAACAGGGATGGATGTCAAGCGAATAACGTGTTCATTCGAATTATTTCGCTTCAGACTTTGTCAGTGCTTCGATAGTTTAGAATCTCCAACTTTTCATTTGTAAATGGACATTACCGATCCATTCATTCGAAACATGTTACTCTGCCATTGCAATTCTTCATTAATTTCAGACTCAACCTCCATTATACAACGACTTCTACAGAATCCTTTGCTATGTTTGAAGTTGTATATAATGAACACTTAGACCTCTATAGGACCTTTATCAAGACATCTTATTATATGCTCTTGTAGTGCGTTACAGTCAAATAAAAGATGTTTTACGTTTCCCATACGATCTGTCATAGGTCCAATCATACAGTAAGAAGTTTTAAAGAATTTCTATCATGGTCTAAGAGAATTATGGTTCTTTTCCGTGAAAAATAGTACTTGAGCATTTTGGATGTTCTTCACCTTAGGAGTCCCACACATCCAAGGTAACAAGACATCACATTATAAGCTCTTGTAGTACGGTACAGTCAAATAAAAGATATTCTACGGATTCTTCCCCGTCAGAAGAATCCTTGTGTATCCCATACGATTTGTCATAGGTCCAATCATACAGTAAGTATGTCTATAAGAAGTCTTAACGAATTTCTATCATGACCCAAAAGAATCATGGTTCTTTTCCGTGAAGGATAGGACCCGAGCATTTTTGATATTCTTCGTCACAGGAGTCCCAATTTCCCAATATCACCCATTCGATACCACATCTAAGGGAATATGAATATGCTTTTCCGAATTAGTTTCTTTCGACAATGATCCGTTAACAATTCAATTCTCCGAATGACATTGTGTCCTGTTCAGTTCGACTAAATTGAGAATATATTTCGATCTTATTAAATTAATATTAAGATGGTTTATATGTTAAAGGTAGATGTCTCAGATGTATTTTGCGAGCGTATCTATAACGTAAAATCAGTTCGTTAGAGTGTTGTCTTAGCTGGGACAGGAAGTAAGAGGGGTGCGTCACTTTTAAGGCAGATGTCACGGATGGTTTTCGCTGTCGTCTGATGTAGAGCCAATACCCGTAACACTAACATAGTGTCGTCCCGAAGGACACGGTTTGCAGCCCTGTCCGACTATTGCTATAAGATTCGTTTAATTTATTTTTTGTAGATTCAAAGTAGATCTCAAAAACCATTAGGAAGAGTTACTTGGCCGGAACCCTAAACATAACGTAGACATAGTAAGGGGTTCGTTCCTTATGGATGAGCCTCAAGTTTTCTAACTTTAAAATATATTTTCAAGCTGTTATTATCATGAAAAAGTGGAAAAGAAGATAGAACACAATATATCTACCTCTACGGCACTTGGACGGGAGAGATATACTTCTGATTTTGTTATTATCGAATCATACATTTCAAAATTGTTAAAGAAACGGAAGACGGATGTTCTCGTTTTGATAAAATACGTTTAGTATTGACATACTAAAGATTCTTGTGAAATTAATGAGACATCAATTTTCTGCTGATCGGCTGATAAACAAACATATTGACTCAACTTTTACACTGAAAAAAATAAACTATAAAAATAAATATTATAATCTAGAGCGGTGTCAAGACACCAATTCTATACTTAGCAGGGATATAGAAACTAGATCCAATAGGATTCCATAAGTTTTATATGAACAGTACTTTCAAAAATCTCGTTAACATTAAAGGGTCACCTTTAAAATCTTCTAAACTATACCCCCTCGAAAAAATCTACACAAAAAAAAAATTCACAATTATTCACTTGTATGACGCACTGTAAGTGTATTACGGGTTTTTTGTTGTGCATTTCAGGTCTTCTTTGTTAAGAGAGAGAAAGAGAGAGAGCAAAAGAGAAATTAATACAGAGCATAAAATAATGCAATATTTGTAAACTTCCAAAGAGAGAGAGAGAAAGAGAGTGAGAGTTAACTGTTTTTGGAGCCGGATTGTGCATGCTTTTTCTATTTGGGTTTTATTTTTCATGTTTATTTTTGAAAAAACGCCCTGATTGCGCATGTTGAAACATGCTTACTACTAACAACAGCCCCTTTCTTCTTAAGCTCTCCCCTTTAGGAATTTATAGTTGAGAGAGAGATTTCTCTCTCTCTCTCTCTGTCTCTATCATTCCCCAACTCTCTGTAAATATAACAGAACGTGTGATTGTTGTGTTTTTATTAAAACTCGTGCTAAAGTGTCGTGTTTACAATATATATATATATAGGGAAACTGAAAAAAAAACAGTTTTTTTCTTCTCGGTTTTTGTTGTTTGTAGTAGATTTACACTCTTCCCGATTCCCCAATGTTTTTGGTGTTTTTTTTTTTAAGGTATTACTAGTTATTTAAGGTCTTCCTTCCTCTTCATCTCTAGCTTTAGTTTCAGCTTCATCTTGTGCTTCTTTTTAGCTGTTGTTGTTTCTGCTGCTTCTGTTGCTGATGTTGTTGTACACATTACGTGGTTTGTTGGTTTTTGTGTCGTGGTCGTTGCCGTCGTTATTTCTGGTGCGTTTCGAAAAGTTGCGTCAGTTTCACATTTACAGTCGGTTTAAAATTTCACATCACTGAAAAACAAGAAATAAATTTACGGAAAATTTTTCTTTTTTTTACTAACAAAAGCAAACAAAAAAAAAATATGAAAACTAATTATTGTAAAAATTTTATAAATTTAAAAGAAATTTAAATAATATTGTGTTGAAAAAATTTAAGAAAAATAATTCCTTTTTACTAGAAAAAATTTTATTAAATAATTTATTTTATTTTTCCTCAAAAGTTTTTAGTGCATTTTAAAGCAGTGTCTCCCTACTTCGTGCTCTCTATCTCTTTACTAAAGTGTGCCTACGTGCGTGTGTGTTTGCAATAGCAAATAATTGTGTGATTTAAAGAAAAAAAAATAATTTTTTCTTTTTTTAAAATTTACAACAATCCTTTAAAAATTAAACAATAAATCTTTCCCGAAAGAACTTTACAAACAAAATTACAACCCCACAACCAGGTAATTATTTATTTTCTTTATGTATTATTTAATATTTGAAAAAAAATATCCTTCCGTCTTGTTGCAAATGAACAAGAAAATATTACTCTTCTTTGCTAAATGTCTTTGTCCTTTTATGTCCTTTAGCAATGTGCTTGTTGTGGGAGAACCACCAACCAACACTTTTCTACAGTGATTTATTTTCTTATAAATGTGGGTGCCCAGCTTTTTTGCTCTCTCTTGCAGAATTGTGTTTTTTTTATTGCTAATGTCACATCAAGTTTTATTTTTAATCATTTACTCTATTACTCTCTTTATATATAAAATGTTCTCTCTCTCTTTCTGTGTATTCATTATTTATTCTTCCTTTTTGCTAAAAGGTCCTGCTATAAGTTGGAGTAGTGGTGTGTGTGTGTGCAGGATTATTATTTTTAGTGTAATTTATTTTTGGCCGGGGCTAAAATGTTAGTGTGTGATTAATTTCCATATTTATGATTCTAGACTGAAAAAGAATTATACATAAAAAGTTATATGAGAAATTAACACATTCATTACAGTGCTGGGAGTGTTTAATAGAGATTTTAAAGAGGTGTTGGTTTATAAAAATCTATTTTTTTTCATATAATTTTTGTAAAAAATAATAAATTTCTCTGTACGACCAATAAAGTTAAGGTTATGTTGAGTATTCGACAAGTGGAGATAGTGGTTAACTTAAGTTCCAATTGTTCGATCGCATTCAACAGGGGCATGTGAATATCATCTTGGAACAGGAAGTGAATGTAATTGAGATTACATTTGGACCTTACCACGTCCGATGTGAAAGCCTGGAGGAATGCTAAACAGTGTATATGTTAATGGTCGACGTGTTAGATGTTTTTCGCTGCCTAAATCTATAAAGTATCATCTAAGTTGGGATAGGGAGTGAAAGGTAAAAGCTTTGAGAGTTGCGACATTTCCATAATTAATGGTCGACACATTGTCGGACTAAAGACATAGATTGTAAGCATAGAGTGAAAAGCAAAAGCTTTTAGAGTTGCGACATTTTTATATTTTATAGACAACACATTGTCGGACAAAGGACTTGTAAAAATTTCCTATAGTAATTATCATTCTTCCATCTCCATATGTTTCTTTTCCATTCAGTCTACTATAGTAGACTGAAGTGTACTACTAGATGTTATAACATCTACGTACGGAATCCAATTATGGAAAACACTAAGCAATACCTGAAAAGATCTTATACAGCACTCCATCTATATCCATCTCAAAGTGACAGACCTTCTTTCCCAGCATTCCAAATTACGTCTTGACTGTTCTATACAAGAATAGATCTTATACAGAACTTCTTTCATATCTATCTTAAAGTGAAAAGCTTTTCTTTATTAAGAGATAGTTAGAAGGCTAACTTCATTTGGTTTTTGTAGTTGTAACACCTATGACTATAATAATGAATTCGTAAGTTCTACATTGAGTTCCAGCTCTAACAAAAGTGCTACTTCTACAGGATTCGTATAATGCGACAGTTAAATATGTGGCTGGGATCATGAGAACCCTGACCACATGCTGGACACTCATTTATGCTAGAAATAGTCCAATTTTGCATGACAGATTTACTTCTGTTTCCGCGGAATTGATGACATCTCATTAATTCTTGTTTAAAGCTGGTGTATATGTTCTCCTTCTATAAATGAAGTTCCTTTTACTGACTTATTTGGCTGGCCACTCATTTCTGCTATAACTGCCCTTGTTTTGAGTGGCAGGTTTACTTCTGTTTCCGAGGAATTGATGAATGTCGTTTAAAGCTGTCGTACATAAGGTATGATCTAATGGATTCTATAAATGACTTCATAAGTATGTTCTTCTATAAAAGAAGACCCTATTACTGACTGACTTGCTTCGGCCAGTGGCGTACTGGGTTAGCATCCCATCAAGAATAGCCAATATTTGTCTTAAGAGAGTATAAGTTTCGATAAAGAGATTAGATTCTAGACGTTTTTACAAGGTTCGCAGACTCATTTGCAAGAATTTGCTTCAATGATTTCTTTGCAAAACGTCCAGAGCAATGAACTTGGTAATCCCCCTCAAACTAAGAGCTTTCGTCTTCTAGAGAACATAAAATGAAAGTTTGTTCCCTGTCTCTACGACTTTTATTAAAGGGGACTTTTGGGCAGCTACGATCTTTAATGCCACTAAAGTTTAAGATTGATCGGTCATGAAGCTGGCTCATCCTGCTACTTTACAATGGCAGCGAACTTTTGGCAACCTAATTTTATTGAATCATTTCGGTGAACATTATTTTAAGATTTCCTTAAGAAAGAATGACAGACTGTTTCAAACATTTCTATCGCTTGCAAACCAAAAGACTCCATAATCGTTAGCCATGATCACTCCATTATATTCTGCTCAAAAAATCGGGGAGTTGTTACAAGACTATGTGATCTGAAAAGTAGATGGTAAAGAACATTGCTGACATTGTCAAACACTTAGATTAGCCAAGGATCATGTAATCTATTCTCTTGCAAGACTTCTCCGCCTCTCTCCACTTGCTTAAACGATGTATGATCTATGTAGTCAATCAGATGTTGCCAATGATCGTGTAATGAAGGCATTCATGGAACCCTTCCTTAGATAAACATCATTAACAAAAATTGCTAACGCATTAATATCACATGTTGCCAATGATCGTAAACGATCGTCAGAAGTGATCGAAATCATTCTCTTGGTTCTCAAAATTTGGTAAAAATGTTTGATTTGAGTTATAAAGGAAGTTTGAGCTAATAATAACTTACGGTTAAATAGTGCAGTTGTTCTAGTTTACCATTATTTAACGATTACCTTCGATGACTAGAAACCATCTTAATCATTCAAAGTTGGTTCTTCCTTAAGGCCATTCTTATGACAGATCCATAGAACTATTCATTTATAATAACCTTTACTTCGAAATCATTGTTCAAATATAAAACTAACTCACAACAATTCGAATTGCTTACACATAAACCTTCAAAAACTAATAATAACAAATACAAGGTCCTTTCACAATCATACCCAATGGAACATTTTATTATTTACCAAACCAGTTAACACAACATTGGAAACCTCTTATTAACAAAAGAAACACATCATATTTTTTATGTCTGAATTTAGTAAAGTGTGACCGAACAAACAACTTGTATGCTAGAAAATTTAACAAAAGATTCAGGGACATTAAGCAGGAGAAGAAGAGAATGGTGTCCACCTCTCTCTCTCAAAATTCCTATTTATATTAGATGGTATGTGTGAAATACAAATCAACAACATACCACTAAGATTGTTGCTTAAATGTACTGAGCGGGCCGGGCTGTCACTCACTCCTTAGTATTTATGACCAACATAAACATGAGGAAGACTACTCAGTTATGCCAGAGTACGAGATGGTGTAAGAATTTACCACGAAACGTGACTTTTTCAATGAAATTATAAAACATTTCATTAACGTTGAGTTCAGATCTGTAAAAAAACAATTTTGCAATATATTTTCTTTAGAATTGGAGGATGTTTTTTGTTTTTATTTTTTGCCAGAAATCTCCCCAAAGAAGTTGTGGGTTTTATATTTCTGAGGTTTAGCCTTCATAATAAAGTCTTTTTAGTGTTGAATCATACTTTAATACACATGCAAAATGTATTGACGGACAGACTTATAGATAGAAAAACTCGACAGACAGACAGACAACCCCAACATAAGACATACGAGAACCAAAGCAAAGACACAACCAGAGAAGCACATTTAAGAAGAGGTATTAAATTTTTTTTAAAAAGAATTTGCATTTTTGCTTAATTAAATGGAAATAATTACACATATACACACACACACACTCTAACAATAGAAACCCTGAAAAGAATCCTTAAGAATTTTTTTTATAGATTTTGATAGAAATAAAATACCGAAAAGGGAAAAAACACAAATAAATTGATTTGCTCAAAATGTGTATGAAAAAGGATACTCTATACACTGGGATAACAGTTTAACACACACTCTCTCTCTCTCTTCTATATACATTTTCACAAAGAGAGTGACTTAAAAGCATAATAGTACTCGTATGTAGTAACATAAAACTTAACTAAGATTTATTGTTATTATTACTATTATTGTTGCTGTTAAATGTCAAGGGAATTGAAAGAAAATCTCTCGAAACATAAAAGAATTTAATTTTTCCTTTTTATTTTCATTTCTTTCTCTTTTTTTCGTCCTTTTAAAAAGGGACTTTATTGCCCTTTAAAAAGCAGAAATATTAGGAAATAATAGAAAAATGGGGTAATAAAGGACTTAAGTAGTTAATAGGTATTATTAGTATAAAGATCCTTTTCCATAAGGGTCATACTTCAGAAAGAATTTGGATTATAGTAAAATAATCCCCATATCTTTTGTGCAAATGTTATAAAGTGTGTTTAAACCTCAAACAATATAAACCAGAGATTATCTTTAGAAATCTTATATGGAATTATAGGAAAGTATCTAGGATCAATGTTTAAAAGTCCAAACCGAAATATTAATTAAAGATATTCGACTGGATTAGTCAAGCTGCTGGTTCAAACTGCTATATTACAGTGATTCGATCTTCTACATGATCATTATTCAAACATTTTATATAAAGGAATGACAGAAGGAGTGTCACGTTGTTTTATCGCTTAGATCAAGTTGTAATTTAACAAGTTGCCAAATAACGGACTCAATGATCTTCCCTTAAACAATTATGATCTTCTGCCCAATGATCTGGAATTCATCCATTTGCAACACTACTCTTATTCTCTTTACTTGAGTGATCTGGGCATAATTGCATATGAAGAAGTATGGCTGACATTGTCAAATCTTCTTCTCAAAGATCATGTAGTGAGATCATTTGCAAGATGATGACAAGCGGAAAGTGTAAATAAAGAAGAACAGCTGATATTGTCAAATACTTAGATCTTGCCAAGGACTATAGAAACCATTCTCTAGCATCTCTCTCTTTCGATCTTTTAATTGATAATTTTTAAACACTTCA